GTGTGCCTTGGTCAGTCTCAGTGGTATTGGTAGCATGACCCAATCACAAACATGGAGAAGCATACGGACAGCGCAGCGTCATACTTCCTGAATGAAAAGTCAACTATAATATTAGACAAATATGAAGACGTTAAACATCCATGACTTAAACACTTTAATCCACNTGCGCGTTCACATGAAAGGGGTGGTATTTGGAGCATTCGACCAATCACAAACATGGAGAAGCATACGGACAGCGCAGCGTCATACTTCCTGAATGAAAACTTTTCATTCAGGAAGTATGACGCTGCGCTGTCCGTATGCTTCTCCATGTTTGTGATTGGTCGAATGCTCCAAATACCACCCCTTTCATGTGAACGCGCACCTAACTAGATAGGGCACGGCTGGCTTGAGTTAACGAGTTGATAGCCAACGTCGTAGGACCGCTTAGCAAGAGCGCGTTTGTTTTGGATTAGGTAAGCCGGGTAACTGAAACATATCCAGGTTAGGTTGAACCTCCTTCGTCGCACAGGCCTCTGGTCTTTTAGAATTTTCGCAAATGCTTTAATACAAACAGAAATATCACATTGACATGACTATTCATAATAATTGAAGTACAAGTACTGCTTCTGTTTTAAGTGCTTTCAGTGCCCACAAAAGTAGCATTCAACTAAAGCCAGAGGCAAAAGAGAAATATAACAATTTAAACATTTCAGCTGCACGCACAGATCTAAATAATAACCTAAACAAACAATGAAGTATGTTTCTGCATGAATGGCTTTTGATATTCCGCTGTTTGCAGGAAGGGTCCTGCTGATCCTTTTTAAAGGCATTTTTTAAATCTGAAAATAAGACATTTATTTGTATAAAAATGTCTTTAAAAAAAATATTCGTTATGACCTTGCAATCTCAAATCTCAAAATAATGAATGACATGTATCCGTCACATACACAACTCTTCTGTTTGTTTCGGTTCAGTTTGGTGTGACGCTGCTCTATCTGATCCTGAGTGAAGGAGAGAGGATGCAAAGCTCTGACTCCAACTGTCAGCTCATGGACGACAATCGATGGTAAGATGTGGTGTCAGTGATGTAAACCTTTTTCTCGTGCTTTCTCCAACGTGTCTCTGTTCACTGTTTCTCTGCCGTTATGTTTTATCCTCGTCTTTTCTTCACACCCACACAAAGTATGTGTCTCTTGTGTTGCTGTTTGCCATTGATCCAGGACTGAGTTGGTGTTCTCGGTGACGAGGGAGTTGCTCAGCGTCCCCCCCTCATCTCTGTCCCCTCCCCTCTTCACCCCTCCCAACCTGCTCTCCCTCTTCTCGCGCTATGTGGACCGACAGAGGCTGGAGCTGCTACAGGACAAGCTACAGTGAGTTACAGTGTCACCTGGGGGGCTTTGGTTGGGCAAGCAAGCACAAATAAGATGAGCGGGAAGAATGTGTTTTGGATCTTTTATGTACAGACAGACGGATCATGACAGAGTAAACGGGTAGATGATTTAGGAGCTACTAAAATACATTTCCTTTAATTGTTGCATTAATAACACTAGGTGAACACGTCTGTTCATCAAACTAATGGTTTGTTCTTTGCCTTTCTCAGGATCACTTCTTTGTCCAGGTAGAAGTTACGACAGCAACACAGCCCCCCGATGCAGACCTTTCTTTCTCTGTGAGTGTGTGCGTGCATGCGTGAGGCAGTGAATCCATGGTGGATTGTATTTTAATGCAGCAGAGTCTCTAGTCACTTTTTTTTTTTGTGTTTTTAGTCTCTGGTGTGTAAGTAAATGTGTGTGTGTGTGAGAGTGTGAGTGACAGTGACACAGCGCATGACAGACGGGAGAGTATGGCGACGATAATGAAATCTGCATTTTTAAATATCTTGTTTACGATTATGCCTGTGATGAACCTTCAAATTAAAAAGTATTTCTATTTCTCGTGTTTCGGATCAATCTTATACTGCTGTATGCATCAGGGAAGTCTTTGTTCACTCTTCAAACCCTTTAATGATGGAAATGAAAAGTCTTTTAGAATGACTTTATAAGCCTGTTGCAGCCCATTATCCATAGGACACCAATTAAGCACATACTCTCCTTTTTTCCCTACATCCGTCTTACAAGCTAGTTTTTTACACCACAATATATCAGAGAGATTCATAAACTGGGATTAACTAGTAGGATGCGTGTACTTTCCAATATCGACAAAGTTATTGCAGCCAAAAAGGGTGTGTGTATACAACACGGTCAAAACGAATTGCACATCAAGCCCAGATCATTGACACTAAAATACCCTGTTGTACCATCGTATGTTCATAATATTAACAAAAACATACAATTGGCTGCATCAAATCAAGTTTTATTTATATAGCACATTTGAAAGTGATTTTTGGTCGAGCCAAAGTGCTGTACATGTAATAAAAACACTTTACTACAATCACAATAAGAGAATAATTTACAACGGAAATATAAAACACAGGAATAGTCAGGTGTCATACTCCGCTCTGACTAGAAGGCCAGAGAGAAGTCTTTAGTGAGGATTTAAAACACCCTAGTGTCTGGGCCGACCTCACATGGGGGGGCAGACTATTCCAGCTGCTGCGAAGCCACAGAATGTTATTCGCTCTCAGCTAGTCTTATAATCAATTTTCAGTAAATAGTCATTGATATTGCTTATAGTTGTCTGATTCTGACATAAATTACAAAGCTTTCTAAGTGTTAGCACCAAGAGGCTCTGTAACTCTGACAAGAAAATACGTACAGAACATGTTTCCAAATAAAATGAAGTCCATGACAATACCATGTATTAAATATGAGTAAGATTATTTGCTTCACATTCTCCATACAAGTAGGCAATGCTAGGTTCATAACAGCTCATTCCATTGAAGTGAATCAATGGCATAAAATAATACATCAACATTAAATGCAGTTTTCCAATTCACAATGACATCTGTAAGTTTAACTGGTTTATAAAGCATTCAATGAAAGGCCAAATTATTATAGGTGTAGGAGCTCACATTAATACACTGTCAGTGTTAATAAACTAAAAAAAAGACAAGGCGATGTGCTTGCAAGACTGCACTCAGGTAAACAAAACATATTACCCGTGCGCAGCAGCTAACCTGCCTGCGAGCCTTCGCTCAGGTCACATTTACACACGGCGCGGCTGAAGCCCGATAGCACTAATAGCACTAGCAGTATTGCTAGCACCGTTTTAGATTCAATGAGTGTCTCGTTTGCAAATGCTTCATTAAGTTACTTGTTACCCCCTTTACAAGCAACTACTGGACTGATCACAAGAGGAGATGAGTCAGCCTACAGGGATGAAATTCAGAGACTGGCAGTGTGGTGTTCAGATAATAACCTTGTTCTGAACTCCATAAAAACAAAATAACTCATTCTAGACTTCAGGAAAAACAGCACAACACCAGATCCACTGTACATCAACGGCAACTGTGTGGAAAGGGTTCCCGCCTTCAGGTTCCTCGGCACACACATTGCTGAAGATCTATCCTGGTCTATCAACACCACAACATCTGTGAAAAAGGCCCAGCAGCGACTCCACTTCCTGAGGATCCTCAGGAAAAACAACCTGGAGGAGAAGCTTCTGGTGTCTTGCTACCGCTGCTCCATAGAGTGTGCTGGCATATTGCCTAACCACGTGGTGTGCCAGCTGCTCAGAAAAGGACAGGAAATCCCTTCAGAGGGTCATCAACACAGCCCAGAAGGTCATCGGCTGCTCACTGCCTTCTCTGGAGGAACTCTTCAGCCAACGTTGCCTCAACAGAGCAGGCAAAAATAATAGCAGACTCTTCACACCCTGGACACTTCCTGTTTGCTCTTCTGCCCTCCGGTAGACGCTACAGGTCAATTCAATCAAGGACAAACCGACTGAAAAACAGTTTCTACCCCAGAGCCATACGAGAACTGAACACCGTCAAACGCTGAACTGAACAGTTACAACTTGCAACTGCACTACTTTTTAGTAATTTTATTAACTTATTAACTGATCGACATCAGAGATGCAAAATATCATCCCTGTGTTTTTTATATTGTAAACTGTATTTAAATT